AAATCGTTGATTGTGTGTTTATTGGTTATGCAAATAATAATAGTGCATACAGATTTTTAGTTTATAGATCTGAAAATCCTAATATGCATGTAAACATTATTATTGAGTCAAGGAATGCGCCGTTTTTTGAACACGTTTTTCCTTGCAAGGAAACTGAAGAGAAAAGTTCAAATAAAATAACTTTTGATACTGCTGTGGGTAACAATGAAGACCACAATGATAATGAAGTAGATGAACCTAGACGTAGCAAGAGGGCTAGTATCTGTAAATCATTTGGTCCAGATTTTCTGATATACTTGTTAGAAAATGAGTCTCAAAACTTCAAGGAAACAAGTCAAGTCCTGGAGCTCCATTGTAGAAAGAGGCTGTGAATAGTGAAATTGAATCAATTTTGTAAAATCATACTTGGGAATCGATGGATCTTTCACCAGGGTGTAAACTTCTTGGATATAAGTGGATATTCAAGGGAAAAATGAAAGCAGATGGTTCAATTGATAAATACAAGGCTAGGCTTGTTGTTAAGGGATACATGCAGAAGGAAGGCCTTGATTATTTTGACACCTATTCACCAATGATAAGAATAACATCTATTTGTATGTTATTGTGATTGTAGCTTTGTATAATCTGGAAATACATCAAATGGATGTTAAAATAGCTTTTTTGAATGGCGAGTTAGATGAGGAAATGTTATGGAACAACCAGAAGGGTTTCAGTTTCCCGGTCAAGAGAAAAAAGTTTATAAACTTGTCAAATCCCTTTATGGATTAAAACAAGCTCCGCAACAATGGCATGAAAAATTTGATCATGCTATGCTTTCGAATGGTTTTAAGACAAACAAATGTGACAAATGCGTCTATGTTAAAAGCACAGACAAAGGCTATGTCATAGTTTGTCTTTATGTGGATGACATGCTCATTATTGGAAGTAATAATGACATGATGAAATCCACAAAGAAAATGTTGAACAAAAAGTTTGACATAAAAGATCTAGGAGTAGCAGATGTAATTCTAGAAATAAAAATTACTAGAACATTTGAAGGATATGCTTTATCTCAGTCTCACTATGTTGAGAGAATTCTGGAGAAATTTGGAAAGCATGACGACTGTCCTGCTAAAACACCTGTTGACATTAGTCTTCATTTGTCAAATAATACAGGTATAGGCATATCTCAATTAGAGTACTCTCGGATAATCGGAAGCTTGATGTACTTAATGAATTGCACTAGGCCAGATATAGCTTATGCTGTTAGCAAATTGAGTAGGTACACAAGTAATCCAGGGTCCGATCATTGAAAAGCGATAATTAGGATACTTAGGTATCTAAGACATACCTAGAATTATGGCTTAAATTATACCAAATATCCTACAGTACTTGAGGGGTACAATGATGCAAATTGGATATTGGATACTAAATACTCAAAATCCACTAGTGGATACGTCTTTACCCTGGGAGGTGCTGTAATCTCTTCAAAATCCTCCAAGCAGACATGCATAGTAAGGTCGACAATGGAATCTGAGTTTATCGCATTAGATAAAATAGGAGAAGAAGTAGAATGGCTTTGTAATTTCTTAAAAGACATTTCAATGTGGCCTAAACCTGTGCTAGTTATATGCATTCACCGTGATAGTGAAGCAGCAATAGGACGGGTACAGAATCATATGTATAACGGTATGTTTCGACACATTCGTCGAAGACATAATACCGTTAGGCAGTTGCTTTCACATGGAATAATTTCCATAGAATATGTAATGTCAAAGGAGAATATTGCGGATCCATTGACTAAAGGGCTAGCCAGAAAGCAAGTGTACCATTTATCGAGGGGAATAAGATTAAAGCCTATTACTTAAAAGTCGCCATAATGGAAACCCAACTTAGTTGACTGGAGATCCCAAGATCTAGGTTCAAAGGGACAACTGAATTATGGATGACTTCATGTATCACTAAGGAGGTTTACTCTTACCCATTTCTATGATAAGAAGAGTGATACCTGTAGCGTTAGTAGGATAAGCTTTGTTTTTAATGATTCTTATAGCTTGGACATCCAAGTGGGGTATAACAAGATACTTTTAATAAGAAATCACCTATATGAGTGTGAATTGGGCCGATTCTGTGAGAATTGAGAAGGCTAAATTTTTTAGAGTACTCATGAATTACCAGGCGTTGTTTAGGGCCAAAATGAACACAATCGTAAGAACCAAACTCTGTTTGCAGATACATTATGTATAGTCTATTGTTTTGACTTACACAAACAGCTGAACAATTCAAGGCATCGCGTCCACTGGTTAGCCAATAAGTCCGATAGGCTTTCACTAGAGAAGGTTCAAAGCCAAAAGCTACCTATCTCGATGTAGTGTATTTTCTTAATATGCTCTTTCTTTGTCTGCATCTTGTTACATGTCCGTTATTGTAAATTCCATTCATGTGGGGGATTGTTGGAAATGGCTTTGAAAAATCCTTATTTTTTGCTAGCTTTGAGCATTAATTAAGGTGGTACCCACGCGTTATTTTTAACGTTTCTCATTGGGTTCATGTTTAATGTCGCGTAGTGAATAAAACCGTGTATTTGGTTGCTCAAAACCATTTCCAGATGAATGAGAATTCAACGTGCGTTTTCGGGTTCATGAAAATGGCTTTAGGTGGGTTTCCTACACATTTGTGAAATGTGCTTGTTCCACATTGGAAAGACTTATGGATTTGTGCGGGTTTATATACTCTAGCTTGGGATACTTGTGCTAGGCCCCAAGGGATACCCAAGTTTGTGGAAGAATGAGGTTATGGGTAAAGTGAGCTAGACCTATTGGGCCCAAAACAAAAACCACACGCACGCCGCTACCGTCCGTCCAGTCGGTCGGGCGAGCTAAGCTGGGCAGGGCCTGGGCCTGAGCCTGGGCTTGGCCGCAGGTACGTGGTGTGAGGTTGGGCTTGTCTGGCCCAATACTTATCTTTTTAGGCCAAAAACATTTATAATTTATTTTATTTTTTAATTTTGGTTTCAAAATTCAAAATAAATTGGTCCAGATTTTTCATTCACCCAAACGGATCCCTAACGGGTTCATAGTCACCCGAACAGGTTTAAAGGGTTCAAAACAGGTTCATTCGAACCGGACAGATCTGTGTCTGTCCAAACAGGTTTTTTTTTTTTTGAATTTGTTCGAATATTTGCCTATCTGTTGGCACCTGTTTGAGTAGCCACCAATTTTCCTATATGTACCCTCCCATTTCAGCATTCATTTGCATTGAAAAATTTCCAAACTTCTTTTCTTTCTTCTTCAATTCGTCTTCCTGTGCTCTGGCATCTGTTTTTGCATTTGTTTTTTAGGAAAAGAAAGAGAAAGAGTTACAACATAATTTGGTTCGCAAGACTTGATTTTGTAGTGCTATAAATTAAGTAGTAGTCGTTGCATCTTGGGAAGTAGACGCCGTTAAAACTCGAAACACCGGGGCGAGAGCGAAATCTACTTTAAGGAGATTGTGTCCAACACAAGGCTCGACTTTAATTTTTGTAAGCGTTTAATTCGGAATTTAATTTGTATAATTATTTTCTGAATTATTTTATTTTGTTATTTATTTTAATTATATATTTAATTTACACACGTACACCGCTGGGTGTAACACCATCTACGATTGTTGACACCACTACACCACCGCCACAATGTCACCACAAAAACGTATAAATTTTAAAAAATTAACAATACGTAATAGATTTTAGATTATCGTATTGAGTAATTTATTTTAATTTATCACCTAAATTTTTATTAAACAACATTTTGATTTAAAAATTCAACATTTAAAATTTTATTTTCAACTTTCAATTTTTAATTTTATCAAATAATACCTAAGTTTAGTTAAAATGAAAATGATCGATAGTGGAGATTTAATTTTTTTTATTTTTTGGTTTAGCATTAACTGTTAAAAGTTTTTAAAAAATTAACGTTTTTGTACAACCAATAATAAATGGTAAATAAAATTTTAATTTCTTGACCAAAAAAATAAAAAAATAAAAGTATAAGAATATTTAAAATTATTTAAAAAAATAATTACTTATAATTTCTCAATTTTTTTAATATAAAATTTTCATTCTACTCACATTCATATATATAGTATATATTTTTTATTTTATTTTCTTTATATATTCTTTTCACTTTCTAACTGTTTGGTTAGAAAATATGAGAAGAGGTTTAAAAAAATAAAATAAAATAAAAATAAAATATATTTATATTTTATTTAATTATATTTTATTTATATATTATTTATTTATTTATTTTTCAAATCTTTCCTTAAAATTCCAGCCAAACACAACTCAAAAGTGAGGGGAGCCCCACTCCTTCACGTGGCTCTCCAACTGGATTCGTCACAGAAATTCTATGATTGCATTTGCCAATGTCGGATCATCGGTTGGTTTTCGTTCTTATCTAAATCTAAGGTAAATTATAAATATATTTTTTAAGATTTGTATAAAGTTTTTATAATTTATAAAATTATAAATATTTTTTATTAATATTTTTTATTTAATAAAATTAATTAAAAAAATAAAATTTATAATTATTCTCTTATATAATAATAAAATTATTTAAATTATTAATTAAAACATATTTTTAATATCGTTAAAAATTATTAATTAATTTAATAATTTATTAATAAAAAAAGTGATTTGTTATGAAATTAAAAATTTTTTAATATAATTTTTAAAATTATAAAAAATAATTCATATTTTAATCTGTTAGGTCATGTATGTTTGTTTGGGTGGACATAAGCTTGGGATTGGACTAATAGTCCAATAAAATTATTAATCCGATATTTGGTTAAACAATTGAGGTACGGACTAATTATTTTAAACTTGACTATCAGTTAAGATAGGATACATAATCTAACGGATTCGTAGTCTTAAGACTATTAATCATGAGAATACTAATTCAGTCCGTCCAAACAAACATGGCATTAGTGTATTGGTGGCTAAGATTACTTTCTAAATTTGGTTGTGATTGCAGATTTCTATATATATCTATATATATGCATAGTACATTAGAGAGAGAGAGAGAGAGAGAGATAGATGGGTGCATTGGTAGTTCAGACTGGTGATGCTTGCATCTGGCATCATCATCATCATCGCCATCAGCATCGAAGTCCAAGTATCGGAGCATCAGTGAGAAGAAAGGGGAACAAGAAGAATGGGTTGTTTTTCAGCAGCAATTTCCAAATTCATGCACTTCAGGCAATAACAAAATATTATGCTTTGTGTCTTTACCTCTTGTTTGGTTGCTGGGAAAATGCCTTGAAAATAAAAAAGATTGTATTCAAATTTTGAATCTTTTATTAGTTCTTCCCCGATCAATTAAAACGTCGAACTAATCAGTGTGATAATTTAGGCATATATAGAAAACTGGGCTGTTTGTTACAGCTGTGATTATAGCTTGTTTGACTTTTAAGAGGTGATTGAGGGTGTTTGTTGCAGCTTCTATAAGCTGATTATAGCTTATTTTAATTTGGGAATTTGACTGTTTGGTTCTGCTTATGGTTTATTAGGTAGAAACAACTTAAATAAACTAATTATTTAGAAGTTGGGGTGCTTTTAGCTTCTTTCAGATTACTAGCTTTTAGCTTATTTTGATTTCTAAGGGGTGATTATAGTTTATTTTGATTTGCGAGTCTGTATAAGCTACAGTGGGTGCAAATGTGGGTTTGCAGTTATACATTTAAATTTTGGTAAATTACCTCATTAGTCCCTCTAGTTTGAGCAGAATTTTACTTTGGTCATTGCTGTTTTAATTTGAACAATTTGGTTTGTACACGTTCAATTTTGTTGCAACAATGTGATCCCTCTGTCATGTGTTGTTAATATTTTAAACAGAAAAAAATCAAGTACAAAACTAGAGGAGCCAAAGTGGAATTCAAAACAAACTACAAGGACCGCCACTGTATTTTGTTTTGAATTTCACTTTAGTCCCTCTAGTTTTACACATGGTCTTTTTTCATTTTAAATTTTGACGGTAAGTGATGGAGGGACCTCTTTGCAGCAAAATTAGAAGTGTAGGGACCAAATTGTTCAAATTGAAACTATTGGGACTAATGGTGTAATTTACCCTTTAAATTTTTAGGTAGTTTTAATAGCGTTTGAATGATAAAAATGTGAGATGGTTTGATGGAGGAGAAAAACTATGGGAGACTTACGTATGAGTCCTAATAGGTAGATTTATTGTCCAATAGATCCTATGATAATTAATAATTTTTTTCATCAAATACTATGAAAAATGTTACAAATTGTTAATTTTTAGCAATAGTTTGAAAATTTTGTCACAAAAAATGTCACTAATTATAAGTTTTAGCGATAGTTTAAAAAAATCGTCATGTTTCAGCGACAGTTTGAAAAATTCATCACAGAAAAATGTCACTAATTATAAATTTTAGTGATAATTTATAAAAATTGTGACAAATGAAAGTCACTAATTATCAATTTTTAGCGATATATGCAAAAAATTATCAAAAAGAGAAATTTTTTTAGTGACGATTTTAGTAAAACTTATTTTCAATAAGACTTGATGGGAATTAAGTCTAACTATTAGTACCTATTGGTAGTTTACCCAAAAATGTATTTAGTAGTTATTAAATGTTACAGTGATTGAAAGATGAGGGCATTTTTGGAAAACGAAAAAGTGTGACAGCATTTGCCCCAAATGGGGGTAGTTCTATTTACACAATACCTTCTCGGTTCACACGGTTGTCAAACTTTTTAATTCTCATTGTGTCCCTCAAGCAAATTATTATTTTTTGGATAAAACCTTAAAATATAATCTCTCAGTATATATTTATCCAAAAAAAAAAAAAAAATCTGAGTATACAATTACACACCACTAGCAAGTTAGCAACCACCAGAATCGCTGTCACTCGCCTTCCCTTGCTACCCAACCACCCCACAACCACCACCATTGTAGCTCACACCCATAGTGACCCACCACCACCTCCATCCCCACGACATTTAATCCCTGGACGCCCTCATCCCTGTGAGGCACAAGCCCCCATCCTCCCCACAGGTTTGAAGAAGAAAAAGGAATGGAAGTAGCGGTGGGAGGGGACAACGGGGCTTGGGAGAGAGTTGGAAGAGGCAACAGAGTTGGGGAGGAGGTGGCAAAGGGGGATGATGTTGGCGGTTGATGGTGGCGGTGGGTTAATGTTAGGATTAGAGTATGAGATTAGAGAAGATGGAGGTATTTTCATATTATATGAAAATTAATGGCATGAATTGAGAAAAAATAAAATAATTCAAATTTGAGTGTGGTGAGAACAGAGTAAATGGTATGCACTAAGATATTGTGTGGTGTGCAAATAGACGATCCCCAAATGGGGTGTACACTTTATATAATAGAGATAATAGAGTAGATGTGTACATAACTCTTTATATAAGTAGTTCATGGAAACTCTAAATAAAACATAAATGCAGTGTCATGAACTCATGAATTCTCCACTTTTCAGCTGTGGCCTATATGAGTTGGACTATTGGCAGTTTGTTCCTGCTTGAATTTAGATTTGCAATCAATCATATTTTTCACAAGTGGGCCATGCTTTTGGTGTGCAATTGGTTTTAGTAATGTAACACTGTTTTTTTTCTATGAGATATTTTATTGATTTGGAAAATCTTCAAAAGCGTCTTGTTTCCTGTTGCTGTAATTAAGTTTTAAGATATCAATTCTGTCTTCAGATACATGAAATTTTTTATTAAAAAAATGTTTGACATGGTTGATATTAAGACTCAACTTTTCAAATTAAACTGGGAACTTCAGTGCAATTTAAACTTGCTGGATTTACTGCCTGTTATTCACTGGGATTCACAATGATGGGGAATAATTGTGCAATAATATTTTCATTGTGGTCTTCCTTTTGTCCTTCACAGGTGGGTGCTGAAAAACCAGCAGGTTCAACCAACTCAGAATTTGAAAATCTCATTTGGCCTTCTCCGAATGATGAAATCCCATTCTGGAAGAGGGATTTCCCTTCATGGGACATAAGCTCAGAACTACCAGTTGACGTAGACAAGGATTCTGATCTGATGCATGTAGTTCATGTAACGGCTGAAATGGCACCAATAGCAAAAGTTGGTGGTCTTGGTGATGTTGTCACTGGATTGGCCCGTGCATGTTTATCACGTGGCCATAAAGTGGATATCATGATCCCTTTCTATGAGTGTATTCCGAAGCAGCAGATCAATGAGTTGGCACTGCTCAGTACATATGATTCGTACCATGATGGAAATTGGATCCCTACTAATGCGTACCGTGGGCTAGTTTCTGGCATACCAGTTGTATTTATTGAACCGAAAAACCACTTCTTTAAGGGGCAATATGTATATGGAGGCTCGTACAATGAGCTCGAGGCATACTTGTTCTTTACCCGTGCTTGCCTTGAATGGATGCAGGTTTGTGAATCTTTTAAGAAGCAATTTGTTTAGCTTTTTTAAATATTGTCTGTGAAAGTGTCCTACAAGAGAGAGAGAGAAGAAGGGGGGGGGGGGGGGGGGGGGGGGGGGGTGTTTGGTTTGTTTCACAAGTCCTTAATCCCAAATTTTAACTCTTAGGTGTATCTATAAGTTGGATTAAGGGTTCAGGTTTAGTTGTCATTTTAATTTAATTCTACCTCAATTATTTTCAACACTTCAAGCTTGTTGAGTTTACCTCCAAGCGTGTCTCTAAGTGAGACTAAAGTGTAGGTGGGTGATAATGTGTTACAGATAAAAGATTAAAATCCTTTTACCCTAACTTCAAGTGAAGGGAGATGCACTTGTTGGCAAGGTGTACCCTTAGTGGCCAAAAACTTCTTCCTTTTGAGATTGTGAAGTCTCTCAAAGGTGTAAAGTGTTTGAATCACTCACAAAGCAAATTTGAAGTTGTATTGCCAAGTTTTAACTAAAATTTTAAGGTTCCAATTTAGAGTCATATCCATAATGTCTAGTTAACAGTTATATTTTTTCAAATCGTCAATGAAGTTGTGAGGTTGGTTGACCTAGAGGCCTGCTTAGACCAAGGTATGGGGTTGGTTGATCAACACAGTTTCGGAAATACATTGGGAACTATCTGACCAAAGCCTACATGAACCTGGTCGACCATACCAAGTGATCAAAATCAGGTATCGATTGACCATTTGAATAAATCACATCAATTTTCAAAAGTATTTACATTGGCACATACACAATTACTTAGCATATTAAACCCATAAGGTAAAATAAATGAATGTTTTTCTTGTGTGGACTATGTTGAGTGAATCCAATGGAGAAGTATTGTCATTATTTAGTCTTGCAAAGGGTTCAAACTACTTTTTCAATGGCGACATCTGTATTCATAACAGTAAAAAATATGCGTAGTAAATATATATATATATATATATATTTTCATTTTGAAGTGGGTTTGGCTTAGTTTTGGTCCCACACCTTGTTGAAGGTTGTCTTTATGTTGTTGAATTTTGTAATAAGACAATAGGGTTGAATATGGAGAAATAATAGAGACATAAAAGAGAAAAGAACACAAAAGTTTAACGTGGTTCAACCAATATTGGCCTACATGCATATACACAAAGCCTTAAGGAGCTACATTTTTCATTCACTCAACTTGATACTCTTGTTTACATGATACACCATATATATAGAGTAGGAGATACAATCAAATCCCTTCAGTTAAGGAATTAAAATAAATCAAAAATTCAAAAGAATCATAATATGTACAATTTTTGGGATCTCCATATATTTTGATATTTTTCATATCTTCTGATAGCTTTGATAATATAATCTTATTTCCAACACTACCCCTCAAGTTGGAATACGGTTGAAGTGAAATGTCCAATTTGTACTCGAAAATATGATGATCATTACAAACAACTATAATGAAGTTGTTGAAAGATAACAACAATTGTAATAATTCCCTTTAATGACAACTTCAAAGAACATATGCAAGGAATCAACATCTTGTAATAGAGAAACGTGTATGGAATCAGTCATGTTGGCAGCAAGAGAAACCAATTGAGAGAGAGAAAGAAACAAGGCTGAAACAACGACAAATCACCACAAATAGAAAGGCCAAAAAAAATTGCGGGTATGTTTGGTTTAGATTTGTAGAGTGATTTTGGGAAAAATTTTTTAAAAAATTTGTTTGGTTTGTAAATTTTCCAAAACAATTTCCAAAATCACTCTCTCTTTTACCTATCAATCAATCACTTTTTCTCTCTCCTCTCTTCTTCTCAATTACTTTTTTTCTCACAAACATCTACTCAATTATAACAAAATATTAAATCATTTCAAACTCCCAAACTCCAAAATTACTTTCAAAATACACAACCAAACAATCAAAAAAATTTATAAACTCTCTCTTCAAAACAATTTTTAAAAATTACTCTCCCAAAATCAAACCAAATATACCCTGCATCCCACAAAGAATGCTACCGAACACACCAGTAGCCCAAAAACAAAAAAGAACTAAATATGTGTTTTCCGCATCAGCATAGGGACCCTAAAAGGGTAGAGAATTAGCCAGAAAAAACTTGGCGTATTACGAAATAATGCTACTGAACACACTGACAACTCTGAAACAAGTAAACATCATAAAGTTTGCTTAACCACATCAACAAACTAGTGGTCACTACAAGGAAGAGGGAAAAAAACCTTGATAACAAAAAAAATATGGAGTGAGAAAGCACTCCATAGAGAAATATGGCTAGGGTTTGGTATGGTAGGCTCTGATACCAAGTTGAATTTTGGAATAAGGCCATAAAGTTGAATATGGGGAAATAATAGAGATAGAAAAGAGAAAAGAAAGAACACAAAAGTTTAATGTGGTTCAGTCAATATTGGCCTACATCTACACACACAAAGCCCTAAGAGGCTACATCTTTCATTCACTCAACTTGATACTCTTGTTTACATGATACACCATATATATAGAGTGGGAGATACGATCAAATCCCTTTAGTGAAGGGATTGGAATTAATTAAAGATATAAAGGAATTAATTAAAGATATAAAAGAATCATAATATGCACAAATCATGGGATCTCCATATATTTTGATATCTTCTATATCTTTTGATATCTTTGACAATATAATCTTATTTCCAATAGGTGAAGTTTCTTCTTGCACTTCTCCCACAAACTTGATGCTCTCTACTTAGGCTCGTTGATGTGCTTCCTTTGATAGGGGTTTGGTTTCCTACCTTAAGGTCACTCATACAAGTCATGAAATTGACCACCTATGCTAAACCTAGTACTACAATCTATACTCATTGTTTCAAATGCATTGAAGTTGACTTCCTCTTGGCAATCAGCTCATCTGATTTAAAGACTCAGCCAATCTACTGATTGTAAAGCAGAAGCAGGGTTTATTATTATCTTGTATTCGAATAAAATGATGATAAGTATGTCTAAGTTGAATATTGAGTTTATTTCATTTTTATCTTTCTTTTTCCAAAATTTATGCTATTAAAGAAAAAGAAAAAAAACTAATTCTGCATTTACCCCTGCAGCTTCATAGGAAAAAGGAAAACTATATTAACCAATTTGAAGAACTTTAACAAAAAAATGACTTGATTTGAGATACCACTAACATGCTTCTAGCTTTGCCCTTAAGCTGCAGTAAGAGCGGGAAAAAAAAAAAATTCAAGTGAGATGCTCCAACTGTTACGGTTATTTGTTGTTCTTCAAAATCATTAAGGGCCTGGTTCTCTGAGTTTAGTTTCTTGTCAATTTTCGTTTCCCAAACTATGTTTTTCTAATTTTATACAGACTATTATTTTATTGCAGGTGACTGGAACACAACCGGATATCATCCATATCCATGAATGGCAGACAAGTGCTTTATCCATGCTTTTCTGGGATATGTACTGTTATCTCTCACTAAAGGTCTACCTGTGGCTTGTTCCTACTTTCTAATTTTGTTATGTTGATAGCAAATTTCTTTTTTCATGGAACTATAATGTTGACATATTGGAATTGTAGAAACCAAGAATAGTACTGACAATCCACAACATGGAGCATTATGGGGAATGCAGGTATGCTACTTGTTTTCCTTATTTTTTTCAAGTCATATTAACTTCATTTTGCTAATTTCCATTTTATGCCACCTATGTTTTGCTAATATTGCCTGCTTTATCAGCTCAACAATCTCATAAATCTTCCAAATTTTCCTCAGCAACATTAAACAATTATATTCTTTATCACAACCTAAATAAACGAGAAAACAATTGTAGCTTGTAGTGCTTTTTGAATTTTCCTGCTCGACTCCATTTCAGACTTTTGGTGATGGTGATGTCGCTTTTCTATTTCCTTAAAGAATTTTACAATTCAAGGATGTAGATACTTGGTCAATGCACTGAACTGGACATCATAAGATTTCAGTCACCATGACTCCAAGAAAACTAAACTTGAGACAACCATTGATTTTTAGAAATAGTGGGCTACAATAGCAGAGAAGTTAACATTTGAATCTGCATTGTAAAATCCTACAATATACATGTCAAGCTATACATTTTTGTTTCAGTTTCGTCGAAAATTCCCAGTTGCATGGTTACAAATTGTGGACTCTGGATTTAACGCCTTCAGATTCTTCTTATTCACTGGAATTTTCCCTTTTCTCTTTTGTTCCAAATTGAATGCTAGTATAAAAAGAGTAAGTCTGCATTCTTATTTGGCAATCACATGTTATGTTCTTCACCATTTACCAATTTTACTTAATCGTTATACATGTATATCATCTACAGAGTTTTTTTTTCTTTGTTTTTGTAATTGCTTATTACTTTATGAAGCTATACTCTCTCTCTCTCTCTCTCTCTCTCTCTCTCATTTGTGTGTTCATTGACCAGTTAAATATTTTGTATAAATTTCATTGGGATCTTATAATTATTGTTCTGATCACATAGTTCAGTATCCTATCTAGACCTTTAGTTCTAAAAACCTTGTTTGATAGTCATGTCAAAACACAGCCATATTACTTAAAACAAAAACACGTATGCTTAAATATCAAAGGGACATTAATTACTGTATTAAAATAAAATCAATAGCCTAAAGTAACAAATATTTTTATTCCAAAGAAGAAAAAGGAAAAAAAAAAAACAAAAAAAACTGAGTGCATTCTTATGCACAATTTCTGTTGCCAGAATTGTGTGATTGTGATATATATTGCATGATTCAGTTCTATACACCAAGAAATTAGTTTGTATCTAGGGGGAGAATAAACAGGAAACATAATTGCAGGTAGAATCAATGATTGATGGCCATATTAGCGATATACTTCAGTCAACCCTTTTAAAAACGGGTCTGTAGAAACCTTTTTTTGATTATATGCTGTAAAAAATTAATGTATTATTGATTGATGAATGTTATTTATTACAAATGGTGAGGGGCTCCTTATATAGGAGATGTAGTGGAGTATGTGGTAGTAGGTGGTAGTGGTAGGTGTGTAGTAGTTGGTAGTAGGTGGTGGTAGGTGTAGTAGGTGGAGTAGGTCATGGTAGGTTTTAACAGTCTCCCGCAAACTCAAGGGGGATAGGAACTAACCAACTTGAGTTTGGAGAGAGTAACAAAACAAGAAAATAATCTGAAAAATAAAAAATGGGTAGGAGACACTGTATGGTCCTGTCAGACCGTTGTAAAAGACTGTATGGTTATGGCAGACTGATGTAGAAGACACTGGCTCGTGTTGGACCGATGTAGAAGACAGTTTATGGGGTCATGTCGGACCGTTGTAGCAGACAATGTTGTGATAGTTGTTATGACAGTTTACGGAGTCTTGCTGGATCCTTGTAGAAACTAACCGGAATCAATGTCGGGACAGTTTACAGAGTCTTGTCGGACCCATAAAAAATCGCACCCTCAAAAGGTGTGCCCAATCTTTCAAAAGGCGTGCCATCAAAAGGCGTGCCCAATCCATAAAAAGACGTGCCATCAAAAATGGCGAGGCGCGTGACTACCTTGCTAACTAATAACCCCAAATTCTCTGTTGTGTAATTCTCCACCTTTTTAGTTCTGATTTACGACTACCACCCCGGCAATCATTACATACAACAATCAATAACCACTTCTCATTAGACATCTTTTAATCTGATCTCTTAATCTCTTGCTGACCTCTTCGTAGCTTCATACATATTATATATACATATATAGTAATATAAGCAACATATGTTTTGTCGTCTGGCGTCAAGTGGCGCGCGATGCGCGGATCGGCCCTGGCTATTTAAACAAAGGTTGAGGCGGAGGCTGTGCAAACCAGTCTGAAATCGCTGAACATTTTCATTCTGAAATATCTGAATATTTGCATTCTGAAACATCTGAACAATGGCCTCTTCTTCCTGTGGTCTACTCACTCTCTTTCCCGACCTCAACGAGTCAACAAGAGAGATAACTGGTGTGGTGGCCCATGAACCGCAACCAAACACCTCTGGTTTTGTTCCGTTGAACTTTCCGATGCGGTCGGTGGAGCAAAAAATGGCGGTGCAAACTGATATTGAGGCCAATCAGTATACTTTGAAGTCATGTGTGGAGACCATGATAGCGGTCACAAACCTGTCGCACCGGCTGCAGAGTAGGACAAATGAGGTGCAGCAGTTAAACGCCCAACTGGCTCTGCTCCAACGCATGTATAAGGATGCGCGAGCAGAGATAAGTGTGCTAAAGGCGGAAAACAAGGAGCTGAAGCGGAAGGCCAGTTTTATGTTCCGATTTGGAGGCCCGCCATATGCTGCAGTGGAGGAGCAGGGAGTAGTGATCATGAGTGGAGGAGTATGGGGGAGTGAACGTGCTCGGTGGAGTGGGAAACACGGAGGCAACACCGTCAAGGGCCGCCCAGGACGGAGGCAAAAAGAAGAGACCTGCGGCAGAGTAGAGAAGAAAAATCCCACTGTGGGTGGAGGTGGTGTGTAAAACACTTTATGAAAAGGAAGAGAGAGAGAGACTTTGTTGCTCGGGTGAGAGAGAGATTCCCATACAGCTTCAATTAAAACTTGAAACTGGTTAGAGGGAAGTAAACCCAACAGGCCAGAAATAGTCCTCTTCATAGCATCCACAGTAGTGCGTGGAACATCTTTCTGAATAAGGCTCACATCCATAGGCTCTATCTCTTGTACCAGATTCAAGAGAGCTGATTTCTTTGAGCGTGGAATTTCAGTTTTGGAGTAGAGATCATCGAAAGAAGATGCTGAACAAGCACGAACTACGGTTCTTAGGGTTCAAATTTGTCTAGGGTTTTGAGAAGGTTGGAGGGGAGATTTGGGAGGTTGGGTCGCTGGAAGTTGCAGTTGGAAAGGCTAGGTCAGCGAGAAGATGATAAATGTGATGATGGAGGTAAGGCAGCCAATGGTGGTCCACGGTGGTTCACAGCGGTCGACGACGGTGGAGCAACAGGGGTTCTCCGTCTGTGTGTGTGATGGCCGAGAAGAGGACTGGTGTGAGTTGCTTGCTGCTATGGCTTCGATGGGAGGTAGTGAGGATCGGAGTCTCTGCAAAGCGAGGGACTTGAGGCGAGTTCAAACACCAAGAGAGAACTGAGAGACTAGCCCATGTGTGTGTGTCTGTCTTTCTCCCTGAATTTCAATACACAGAGAGAGAGTTGAAGATGCAGCGGAGTGAAGGTATGTGTAGAAAACTCCAGCGGGCAGTGAAGGCAAGGTTACCGGCCGACTGCCCGCTGGTGAGAAAGAAATATAGGCCTAAATCTTATTGCTCTGATACCATGTAAAATATATTGATGTATATTATTGATTGATGTATGTTTTGATGTATTGTATGTACATCATATAGGAGATGGAGATGTGAAGTGGAGGTGGAGTGGTGGAGTAGGTGAAGTGGAGTGTGTAGTGGAGTAGGTGAAGTGGAGGTGGAGTGGTGTAGTGGGTTAGGTTTAGTGGAGTAGGTTTAGGTGTACATTAACAGCCCCCCTCAAACTCAAGGAGGTTAGACACAAACCAACTTGAGTTTGAAGAGAGTAACAAAACAGGAAAGTAAACTGACAAATAAAATAAAACAGGATAGGAGACACGGTATGGTCGTGTCAGACCGATATAGCAGACAGTTTATGGGGTCATGTCGGACCGTTGTAGCAGACAGTTTACGGGGTCATGTCGGACCGTTGTAGAAGCTGACCGGAATCAATGTCGGGACAGTTTATGGGGTCATGTCGGACCGATGTAGAAGCTTGTGGTGGTGGTCATGGGCAACGAGAAGTTCAAAGGAAAATGCTATAATTGTGGCAAGATTTGACATCGAGCTTCTGACTGCCGCCGCCCTAAGAAGGATCATGGAAGTATAAGTAAGAAGACTACCAATCAGGCCAATGTAACTGAACTAGATTAGATCTCTGACGGGGTGAATGACATCAACCTCTCTGCTGTGATGTCTGAGGCTAACTTGGTTGGAAATCCCAAAGAGTAGTGGGTTGACACAGGAGCAACTCATCACATATGTGCGGACAAGAAGATGTTCACTACCTACATTGAGGCTGCAAATGGTGAACAACTTTTCATGGAAAATTCTTCTACTTCTACTGTGGCTGGACAAGGAAAAGTGATA